GAATTGGGTTGGGTTGGTTTGGGTTGAGTTTGCTTGGTTGAGTTGAGGTGAGTTGAGTTGGGTTGGGTTGGGTTGAGTTTGTTTGAGTTGAGTTGAAACGTAACTAAAACTTGTAATTTAAGAACAATTAAGTTTGTTTCATCCTGTTTTGAAATGCAATACTTTACCATGATAATACTGTAACAAGATAAATGGCTTGAGGAGAGTTATCAGGATATGAACTATTACCAGCACATGGCTAACTTCACCTTAGACTTTGGACCTGACTGGACTCTATGCTTCCGTACTGTACAAAATGGCTGTTTGAAAAATGAAACATTCCTGGTTAAATTGTTGAAATTCATGTTCGAGTTTGACAGAGACTCGACTTGCTGGATTTACTCCTCATAAACCTAGTGATGTATGTCTCGAGACCGGTCTCGAGACCACTTTTACGTGGTCTCGGTCTTGTCATGGCCTTGACAGTGTTTGGTCTTGGTCTTGTCTTGGTCTCGGACCTCTCGGTCTTGTCTAGGTCTCGCTGTCTCAATACAATACTACAATATGTTAGCAATACAATACTACAATATCCACGACGTTATTGAAGCGCGCGTCCGAGTGAAGACACGGTGTGCGCGAGCCACACGAGAAAACACTGATCGCAGTGGCAACGAGCACTTTGATCACTTGATTTAAAAAACACATATGATGTACAGTTATTGATGTATTAATATTTAGTTAAACACATATCAGTGACATGATATGTTTTAACTTCATTCAGGAGATTTTGGGTAACTGCACAACTGACAGATGATTTTGAGCACGCAGCCAACGGTGTGTGTGTGTGTGTGTGTAACCAGAGCAACAAAACAACTTTTGTTTCCTGCATTTAAGCTTATAATTTCGTTTTTAAAACTATTTATGTATTTAAAAGTTGCAGAATGGATTCATTTGGAGACTTTGAAATTGGCAGAGATAGACAGGCAATGCAAAACAAAATCTTACAAGTTATTGCTTAGCTTCAACAACACTGTCTGTTTTTTGGTCTTGGTCTCGACTTGGTATGTCTTGGTCTCGACTTGGTATGTCTTGGTCTTGTCTTGGTCTCGATACCCTCTGGTCTTGGTCTCGATACCCTCTGGTCTTGGTAGTGTCTTGGTCTCGGTTTAGGCGGTCTTGACTACAAGTCTACATAAACCTACCACAGCACTGTAGCTAATATTTCTCTCACTATACGCTAATGTTAATAACAGAAATTATTGTCGATCGTTCCCATCATACGGTCAAAGATAGTACTGTTCACTCTTTTCATTTTCCCAATGTAATTGTACACTGAACTTTTAATTGCTTTAATTAGTAGACTTGAAAACGAAATGAAAAATAACTGATTGTAATGCCAATGCATTGACATTAAACAATTCTTCACTGCTGCTTTTGTTTTTTACTTTAACACAATAAAAAAAAAAATACTGAAGAAAAACAGCTTTTTAATGCCACAAAGTAAAATAATGATCATCGGAACATTTAGGCTCCAACATTTACCCTGACTTGCCTTGGCTAAAGAATGTGCCTCACTCAGAGTGAGATATAAAATTCTGACAGTATGAAATATGAGGCTTGTATACATTTACATCCTATACCCCTTTGAAAACAACATATTTTGTCATGTTAGGCAGCTCTTTTCCCAAAGACAATCACTCTTTGTCAGAAAAAAAAAAAAAAACTCTCTCACACACTTGCATATAAGCATGTACACTCAAGAACTGATGGCAAACGGCTCAACCTGAACTAAGCTTTCAGTCCACATTTACAGTATGCTAATTTTTCCCCTCAATTTTTTGCGCTACTCCCTGTTGGCCTCATCTTGACGGCTCATTGGCTTTTTCTGGAGAATGTATTGTTCTTAGGGGCAGTCAGCACGAGCGGGCACGCGGTTTAAGCTGGGTCATAAATCACCCGGGACCCCTCGGAGGCCTTCTGCTGTCACTTTAGGAGCAAACAGACACTTAGACGGTGCTCAAGACAAGACGCAGCGGAAATGGATTTGCCCTTCTAGCGCTGGCACTGCGTCAAAAGGTGTGTATACGGGAGAATTCGGACAATGAAAACGCCCGCGAAATGTGCTGTTTGGCAGGGATCTTTGGAACTTTGTTATGCGTACCTGTAAATGCCTGTAAAGGCCCGGAAACAGGAACTTGTCTGACCACATGCTGTTAGTTGATGGCTTGGCTTTTTAAATGCTAATTTGTTTTGGGACTGGCTCAAGTTTGCCCCTATTCCCCTGCCCCCCTCATTAGTATTCAGGAAAGGTGATAGGCTTTACATTGGGTCAATCTTCAACAAGTGTTACGGAGAGCAGAGTGGAGATGTTACAACTTTACATAGGGACAATATGGCTATTAAATCTCTGAGTCCGAACGAAAACAGACTGGTGTATATGGCAAATGAAAGTTTGAAGAGGATATTTGAAAAGCTGGAGATGATGGACATGAGGTTGGATAAGATGGAGGCTGACATCAATGAGCTCAAAGAGGCAAAAGAGGAGCCTGCTTCAAAGAAATTAAAGAGAGCTGGGAATAATTCTGTTGAGGTAAGTTATTTTCTGACCATCACAGTGTCTGCTTAACTTTGTGTGGTTTATTTATAAATCTATTCGAATTGAGCCCTCATACTATGTTGGATTTTTACAGGAAGCTGTATGGAGATTGCACAATGGGGAAAACAACATACACAAATATGACGCACAGACAAGGTATATCTTTAAAACTATGCTTTCATAACAGTCTTTTCTTCTAAATTATATTTTTAATCAAGCTTCTTTAATTACTGCTTCACAGTCTATCCTCCCCCCACAACCTCGAGGTCATAATCTTTTTAATGGCTGTACCGGACGTAGATCCTGCTGTTGTTAAAGGTAAGTCACAAGAGAATGTACCAAGGCTACAACTTTTTAACTGTATAGATTAGTTAGTTACAAATAAACATATTCTCCCCCTCTCTATCTCCATCTCTCTAGCATCCTGCAAGACATATTTTGAAACTGTTAGAAGGGGTTACAGGATGGCCCAAGATGAGAACAAAGACAAGATGTAGGACAGGAGGATCATTATGCTCATGAGACAAAGAAAAAGAAGAGTGTATTTTATATAAATACATATAAATCTGAGTAAAACCCTCCGCCTGGGAGAGGCTCCCATCCCAACACATTTGATATTTTCAGTGGTTTAATTACTTTTTTCCCTCCCATTTTGCAGCTACTGAGCAGCAGGACTGGGGTTCCCCAGACAGAGGAAGATGCAGCTATCTGGAAGACTGCAAAAGTTGACCACATGTCTGAAGAGTAGGATGCCATATTGGATGGAAAGTCGGTGTGGGTTGTTCGGGTTATTATATTGTTTTACATATATTATACACAGGCCTTATATATTATATGGGGTTATTTATTGTATGACTAATAGTCAAATGTATTCTGTGCTAATGTTTTTTTTTATAGAGTTTTGACTGTGTGTATATAAATATATATGCCATGTGCCCAGTGTCATTTACAAATAATAAAAATAACAAACTCAACTTTGTCTATCTGATTGTCTTGACATTATAACCATGAACACCAATGACAATGAATATTAATAATGAGTAATAATAAACCCAAATGAGGCCATAAACTGGACCAATAGTGTGGGGGTTTAGAGGAGGGACAAAGCATTGAGCACCCAATCCTATGTAAGATCTCTGACCAATTGAAGGAGGCCACTGCCTTGTGTCCCAAAGGTGTGAAATGCTAATGTTCCCCTGCATTGACCCCGACCTGGGGATTATTCACCATGGTAACTGATGGCCCTAGTGGCTCCCTGCTGTGCTCCAAACTTGGTACATATCCAGGAGTTTTCGGGATTGTGTGACGGGACAGCAAACTCCCGTATACACACGTTTATTTGTGGAGTACACAGGAGTACTCAGGAGTTTTACATGCCCGAATACAGCTCTTTTCACGCAGTGTGGATAGAATCGTAGGACTAATGAAGGACTCTGAAGAGTATCATAATCATTTTGAATACCTTTACAGCTGGCAACGTTTGTCATTAGCAGTACGTACCCAGCAGTATTTCATTACAAAATGTATTGAAGACTGCCTTATGTGTCTGGTACTTATGGGAATGGGACTATTAGCCTACATACAATTCCTTTACCATTGTTTTTGTCACAGAAAAATAATGACCGATTTAATTCTAAATTAGATAAATTCATAGATTAACTGGATAATTCATCTCATGAGTTTAAATGTATTACTTTATTACCAGTAAACATGGTATTCACAGCCTTAATCTGGACTGAAATATTGAAATGCTCATAGTACTTTATTATTGTATAGAGGACTAAGTGTGAAAAGAGAATGAAGCTGGTATTAGATTCTAACATCCAGTATATGATGTCATCATTAAAGTGGATGTGAAAAGAGGCGTTTGTCCTTCTGCTGTTGCTCTCCAGGTGTATTTTAAGAGTAATGTCAGGGACATAAAAACAGCTAAAAGGTCTTTCATGATGTGGTGTTAAAGCAGCTTTTTGAATGAAAGCGCTCTTTAATTGCATGAATGGCAGCTACCCACACAGTAAATGAAATGACCTTCATAGTAACACTTCACAAAGATCATTATACATTTTTCATGTTCAATATAAATATATTAAATAGAAATGCACAACAACGTGCATGAAAGAATGCATTTACAGAGCTTTTAGCGCTGTCTACCCTCAAGTATGTGAATAATTTTAAGTAGGACTTTGAAATGCTCAGAATAACAATTTCCTTGATCTCTTTAGATTTGAATAATGCTTTTAAGTAGAAGTTTTACTGAAGTCGAAAAGTAAATGGCGTATGAGTCTTTTGTTCTTAGCAAAGAAGACTTTAGGATGTACATGGAGTATCTCTGTGTTGTTGCTTTGCTGTTACGTTCTAGTTTTTCCTTGTCCATCATCTATTGGATGTACTTAAGCATGCACACTATCGTTTATGTGTTCCTCAGGTTCATCTGCTGAAGGATCAGCTCTCCGCAGAAGCTGCGGCAAGGATTGAGGCCCAGGCTCGAGTTCACCAGCTGCTGTTGCAGAATAAGGACCTACTGCAGCATATTTCTCTTCTGGTCAAACAGGTTCAGGAGTTGGAGCTCAAGATGGCTGGAAATGGCTCTAGTGAGTATGAGTTCTTGTTTTCAGCAGTGCTAGCGAGTAACTTCTAAAACCTGTGATTTGGGACAAATTAATTGTCATAATAATGAAAGAAAAAGTAGGAGTCTGTTTCATTAAAACATATTTTGTTGATCTCCTTCACCCATTAAAACGTCTTTATTAGATAGTTTGTTATAGATTAAAAGAAAAAAAATTGCATAAAAATTGAACACATTTTGGAATGGAAATATTTATATATATATATATATATATATATATTATAGTTTTTTTATTTTTAGGTTATATTATTAAGTAGAAAGAGGTCATCATGCAACAATCTCACAGCCTCAGGCCCCGTCCACACTACTGCATTTTCATTTAAAAATGGATAATTAAAACAAATACGATCTCAGTCTGCACCACGTTTTATCTGCGTATTAGAATTGATCTCCGACCACATAAAAACGACGGATCACGTGACCATTCACCAACACTGGGCATGCACATGCCGGTGTAAACTCACTAACATTATGTAGTCCAGAATGTTTTTGAATGTTTTCTTCCGGGGTTGGGTCATGTGATGGGTGGACACGTCATGACTGATGACACCCAATCATAGAGCCAAGCGTGAGCCTCGGCATCATGATTTCTAAAGTCCTCCATTTCATCCCGTCTTCACTAAAACGCCCTCCGGAGATTCAAAAAATAAAATGGAGCTGCAGCGTTTCTAAACTTCTCCGTTTTAGGTCTTCGTTTTTTTCCATTTTAGTCTGGACGGGAGGTGCAAAACGCAGTAGTGTGGACAGGCCTTCAGGCTGTACAATACATCCATGCGTAGAATAGACCACTATTGTTTTTCTGTTTATCTTTCACACTGTCCCAACATGCAAAAAAAAAAAAAATCTAAAATATAGACTGTGCACTTCTAACCTTCACTTCAGATTAGTGTGTGGTGTAATGATTAAAGAAGATGTGAGAGGAGATTAGAAGATTTGTCATTTACAGCCGTTTCTTACGGGGTGATTTAAGTGTGATGCTTGGGACAGACAAGGATGGGAGCTCTTTATCATGCAAGCTAATGTCAAAGACAGCACATCACAAGGTTCTGCTGGTCTATGTGAGAATGTCCTCAAATGAACTGCTTTAAAATAAGCCTGAAATTAACCCCTGTGGGGAATGTGCATGCAATGATAGAGGATTGAAGTTAAAAAGCCAAGTGAAATTAAATAGATGGGTGAACAGATGGGAGGGTCTGAGTGAAAAGACAAAGATAGTGAAGGAAAGCTGCTGAAACGCATCAGATATATTCAAAGAGGGGAAGTGAGGATGCATCGCAGCGGTAAGAGCACCGTTATTAACCCGGAGTAAATGGGGAAGTAAAGTGGAGTAGAACTGACATTGAAGTGTTTTTTTTTAATATGAGGGAAGGCAGATGACATCCACGGAGAGGATAAAATGGAAAGACTGAACACCAGATTTGGGAACATTCTTTGCAAAAGTAGTTTGAAAAGGTACTGGCAACTCTAAAGTAGTTCATTAAAAGTTTGAACCCTAAGAATGCTATATTGATAAGTTATCTAGTTGGTCAGTCAGCAGCTTACTGTCGACTACGCTTTAGCTCATTCTGTTGGGGTGTAAGACCGTGTCTCTGATGTAAACGCTCTAAAACCAGCCTATTCATACAGGGGTTAATTAAGAACTAGTCAGGGTTCAGGCAGACCACTGACTAGTCCATTTTGAAAAGGTCAAAAGTTTGGGGTCTGTAAGATTTGTTGTAATGTTTTTAAAAAAAAATTTACTAAGCTGCACCAAAGATGAATTTATTTGATAAAAAAAAAAAAAAACTTTAAAAGCAGTCATTTTAAAAAGTACATATTATTAAAATAACTCTTAATATGTTTTAAAATGAAATTAATTCCTGTGACTCCAGTCTTCAGTGTCACATGATCCTTCTGAAATTATTCTAATATGCTGATTTGCTGCTCAAGTAACATATAACATCTTATCACAGTTGAAAACAGTTGAGCTGTTTTATTATAAAAAATTATTATTATTTTTTTCCGGTGCAAACCGTAATTCTTTGGTGAGTAGAAAGTTCAAAAGGGCATTTATTTAATATATATATATATATATATATATATATATTGTAACAATATAAATGTTTTTCTGTCACTTTTGATCAATTTAATGTGTACTTGCTGAATATTTACTGTTCCCCAAACTTTTGCACAGAAGTATTTTACTTTATTAAAATTTTTTATGTATTTATTGTATTTTCCCATCTTTTTTCTTTTTACTTTTCAGTTTGCTTTAAAGTTGATTTGGAGCTTTAGTTTAGAAGTCATGAGAAGCGCTCTCCGGCCCTTGAAACTAACCTTGAAACTAATCTTGCACCCCGCACAATTGACTTTGTCCACCGACGCATGTATCATTTCTATTTTACACCCGACGCACAGCAAACTTTTCTCTCCACAGACGCACATCGGTAAATTAAGAAATGAACTTGCGTTCCCGGGAGCGGTTCACCGAAAAGAGGTGGCGTGTTCCGACGCAAACGTTCCCTGGTGCTATTTTGCAGTTTCAGAAAACAATTCCGCCACAGAGTAGACCAGGAAAAACCTAGTCTAAAGTTAGTGGCGTGTTATTCAGAAGCATGCTTGGTCATAATGTAGCGTGTGCACAACTCGCATACACTTTTCTTCTCTCATCTAGGCTAGGCTGCAGTTCCCATTTTTGCAAACCATACATAATTGCAAGGAAAGATATTACCACATGAGGGAAATCATTGTGGTGTCTATGAAGATGTGAAAAAATATCCATAAATCTAGCTTACACATTTACCCAAATTATTATTCGCCTGTTTAACCAAAGCTAATTTGGGTGGGTTTCTCCCATCCCAAAACAATGTCACTTCTCAGTCTCCGCTATTATAATAGCAATCCGCCATGGAACAAGCGCGCCTGCTCTTGATGGGAGAGTGAGATGACGCTCTGATTAGTTAATTACACATTACACCCAAACCTCACCTATACGCCTTATTCACGGCAGCACCATCTTTGATTTTGAATGAGAATGAAAGCGAGGCTGTGAGGGATAGACTTGCATCTCTTCAATGGGCTGTATTGTTATTTAATGTGTTTTCGGATTGTTCTGCTCATGAAACACTGGAAAAATATCTTTCCAAGAAATGTCAGTTGACAAAAAACTCCAGACAATGTAAGCTGTGGAAAATTGTAAGTAACCTTGCCGCTTTATTCAGCTTTTTACAGCAGATGCCATTGGAAACACGGTCTATCCCTCACAGCCTCACTTTCATACCTGTCATGGCGCTGCTCTGCGCTGCTCTACTTCAGACCAACCCATTTTAGATTTGCGTGTATAATAGCAACAGTGCCCAAGATCCACCGACAAAGTTACTTGCGTTTTGCGTTTGATACTTGCTTTTCAGATTGTTAAAATAGGGTCCTAAGTGTGAAAGTGCTCTCTCTCAACAGTGGGCTCTCAAGACAGTCTCCTTGAAATCACCTTCCGTGCTAACGTGCCCCCAGTCCTATGCGACCCCACCACCCCGAGACCAGAGGACGCCATCCTACCTCCTTTCAACGACGGGACACCGCTCTCCCTGCCGCTGGGCAGTCCAATAGGTAGGGACCAGTGCTTGATCAAGTTTGAGTGTTTCCGCTTTCTCCCTGGACCACCCCAACAGGATGAGAGCCCCGACACGTCGTCTCAAGGCGTCTCACCCTCATCACGGGACGAGCTTCTGGGCAGCCTTGAGCTGCTAAAGTTCCGCGAGTCTGGAATTGCTTCCGAGTACGAGTCAAACACAGATGATAGTGATGAAAGCTGGGGACTGCAGGACGAGAGCAACCTGCGTCTGCTCAATGTCCTGAACAAACATGCCCCCTCTGACTGCTTGGAGGACGAAATTGCTGTTTAATGTGATTTTGTGCACACAGCTTAGAAAAACACTGCTTGATGCTCTGCTTAAATGGTTCAAGTCAATCAATGTCAAAATTGTCAAACCACCTACTGCTGTTTGTACTGCTGATCATTCTGGGAGACCACGGTGACTTTTACCCATTTGGTGTCTGTTTTGTTTGTTATCTTTTATGTGATATATTGACGAGGAAATGGCCCCAAAGCATAGTACATGCTGTTGTCTCCATTTTTAAGTTTAGGGACACACATTAGATGTCAGATTCTTGTATGTCCTCTAATGGGACTTTCACACAATCAGCGATTCTTATTGGTCATAATGGCCGCCCCTACTTCGCAACACTTCAGTGTTGTTGGTGGGCTCTGCAACTGACCAAAACTTGTATCACAAGTTAGATATATTGTTTGGGAAAATAAGATTCACTCTTATTTGACAAAGAATCTGTTTTTTTCTTACTAAAAGTTGACATTCTATGTACAATTGCAACAGTGCATAATATGAATAAGATGGATAATTTTTGACATGTTAGTAACACTTCATAAGATCAATGTATATATATATACACACAGTGGGGAGAACAAGTATTTGATACAGGTTTTCCCACTTACAAAGCATGTAGATGTCATTTTTATCATAGGGATTCTTCAAAATCACAAGTAATATATAAATGTTTTATTTATAAATTAACACATTTAACATTATTCTAAAGTCTTAAAATTTAAAAAAATCCCTTCGAACACTGTAAAAAAAAAAGTTGCAACCTTAAATTTTTAAATTGAAGTTTAAAATTGCTTAACTTATTGTGATGAGTTAAAGCAATGTAAAAACTTGTTGTCATAACTTATTGATCATATAATTTTTTACAGTGTATGGCAAGTGATAAATCTAGAAAAGACTAGGGGTGTAAATCAGGGCCTGCATGACGATTCGATACGATACCGATTTCTTAAGCCAACGATTCGATTATTTTCGATACTTCAAAATTCCCCGCGATTCGATTCGATTAATACTCGATATTTTTACATGATATCTATTAAGTTTCAAATAAATCAACAAAAAAATTATATTTTGCCTTTTATTGAGAATACAGAAACAGTATTCTAGTGTGCATGTTGTGCTCAAAGTACTGCAAATAGAACAGAAAATGTAACAGTTACTGCATCTACAGTTACAATAAAGTGCCATCAGATAAATTGTAATTGGAACAAAATAAAAATAATTAAGTCTAATGCTTACAGTGCAGGTCTACTATGGTCAATTAGCCTATTCACTGTTAAAACAAACAAACAAAGACTGACCTCTACAGCCTAAATTTCAAATACATCAACCCTGCAGTTATCCTGATAATAAAGACGAATCTAGAAAAGTTAAATCGCTCACAGAAGACAGACCAACTCCTATTGGTGGCTGCCGCATCACATTGATACTCATTTGCATTAAATTTTAAACTTTGTTGCATCCCTGGAAACCCCTGGCGTTGTGAATCGCTGTGTGTGTTAACGCTCCTTTAGAGTCCACAAAGCAATTGCTGGATATTCACAAATAAGTACATGTTTTTAACTACAAGAGACACAGTACATCTATATGAATTAACTTTTGAACAAATTTTATACATTAGCCTGTGATATTGTATCTATAACATCAGTTGTACAGTTTCTGGGCAGTATTAGGCATGTATGCACTGATATGCATTTGCCACTTAGACCACCTTTCATCAGAAGTGCTCAGAATGAAGACAATTACCCAGCTACATCTGTTTTAGCATGCACGACAGTACAGACTCTTAATTGAATGACTGTGGACTGAGGACGCTGCGCTAATTATACCCTAAGGGTAACGAGGCGTCTAAACCGGTCAGATCTTTACCAACAAGAACCCCAATTAGTGTGTCAGAATTTTCACAACCCACATACTTTATTCATTATTTACGTATTCAGAAGAGCTTGTCATGTCTGACTGCTTCACATATGTTTAGCTTTCTTGCATTCAGTTTCTTCTGTGCTTCTAAAAAGTGATATTTCAATGTCTTACCTGTACCTCTCTGATAAACTACTCGCCTCTTTAACCTCTCTGTTTATATTTTGCTGTTCTCTCTCTGTATCTCTCTCTCTCTCTCTCTCTCTCTCTCTCTCTCTCTCTCTCTCTCTCTCTCTCTCTCTCTCTCTCTCTCTCTCTCTCTCTGTATCTCTCTGTACCCAGTGTCTTTTAGAGCCAGACAAGTGCACACGATTAGCTTGGTAATAATAGGGTGGTAAGCAAGTCTTCCCACACATACAGGATGTTGAAAGCATTGTTGGTCTTAAATGTCTGTATGTTACTCCATTTATGCACCTGCATCTTTTTACACAAAACTAAAATTAAGTATTTACCATCTTTAAATCTCCCTTAGGCTTGTAACAAAATCTTCCCACAGATTCTTGGCTGCATCTCTGAGGGATTCATGACGAGTCGAGTTGTCTCGCAGCAGGTCTAAATCCTCCTCAGGGAAACGTGTTGTTGTCTGAACACAAGAAGACTGGTGTTTTTTTCTGATTTCTCCTCCAAGGTCACACAGTACATTTGTATTAGTTGTGTTTGCTTAAGGCACAGGCGTCACGGTTATATGCAAGTTGGGGATTTGAGCAAGTTAAAATAAGTTGTGTTAGTGCGTAATTCATCCCACGTGCATGTAGTTTTTCTTGCAGGCATGGTTTATAACTCAAATCGTTCGTTCATCTTCTGAACACAAATTAGGATATTAAGACATCGTTAGATAAGGCATCGTTTTAAAGATAAGACATCGTTAAAATAGTCTGTGTAATGACGTTGGTTCAACCTTAATGTTATGAAGCGATGATAATACTTTTTGTGCGCAAAAAATAATATAATATGATAATACTTTTTGTGCTCTTCTGTGTCAGAAATCTCCTGGATTTCATCAAATATCTTAATTTGTGTTGCATTCAGATGAAAGAAGTTCTTACGGGTTTGGAACTACATGAGGGTTTGGTTACTGACACATGAGGGTTACTGACAGTTACTGACAGAATTTAAATTTTTCGGGTAAACTAACCCCAAAAAACTAACCCAAATGTCACTCGTCTGTCACTTGAAGTGACCATACATTGATGAAGCCGATTGATTATTGTCTGGATGCTGGATGAAACTAATCTACAATACTTTTTAATTTTAGTCCAACATTGCAAAAACCGAACTGGTATGATTTTTCTGTAAGACTTAAAGTCGGCATGCAATCAAATTTGACAAATCTTCTTTTTATATGTAATATTGTAGTGTTTATTGTAAATGATTTATCAGTACACTTCATTATGTTTTTTTTTAATTCATGTACTCTTAAAATCTTTAATCAAATACATTACCCTTCCCTCCCCCATCGAAACGACCTCTCTTCTCTTTTGGTCACGTGGAATGGCAAAATGGTGCGACCAGATCCGAAGAGGGTGCATCACCTCAGAGAATCGCATTCAAATTGTTTGCAACGCCCAACCTCCAACGATCCAATTAATTCCCGAAGGATGAAATCAAGCCCTACCCTACATTTTTTTTTCGTTATTTCAGAAGCCGTTTCACTTGGATATTCGTCACGACAAGGAAAAAATGACAATCTCAACTTCCGTTTCACGCCGACTTTAAGCTTATACATTACATTTTGTGAAAAAACGCATTATTGCTTTTTTATTTGCCTCCATTCAATCAACAACCGATGGAAAGAACAATTGTTTGTTCCCGCCCTACTTTTTTTTTTTTTTGATAGTCTGTCACAATATGAAAGAAAAAATCTATTGCTTCTTCTGTTTCATTGAACACGTTTACATGCACACCAATATGCTGATAATTCCCAAAAATCAGGTTCTTGAAATAACCCGTTGTCTCGGTTTACATGTAAATCGATAGCCCTGCAACGCAAGTAAACTGCATTTACAAGACTTTATTAATAAATCAGGTTATTTCCCAGTAGTACATCTAAAAATGTATTCTAACATGTCAGCAGGAAATGTATGATCTCGTATATTATACTCTCATATTAGACTCTCATGCAGTCACCGATGCAGCATTTCCACTGAACTCTTCTAATTCGGCTACATGAGATGAAAGCACATTTTTATTATTTCTTATGTCAAGAAAGAGTCGGAGTTTGTGACGTATATGTCCTCGAAAGGCTCGGTCTGTCTGGATGTGCTTAAATCTGCAGTAAGGGTGCTTTCTTTCCTGTCACATATCACACACGCGCACTTCAATAAGGCTGCAGAACGCAGCTTAGTGTGTTTACTTGCCGGGAGAAATCAGGGGCAAAAACCTAGCTGTGTTGATCAGTTTATGCTTAAGTCGTTTATGGCTTTACTCCGATAAAGGAAAACAGGTTAACGTGTTTACAAGATAACATGCTTTGTCGACTTAAGCATAATTGGGTTACAAATGTGCATGTAAACGCACTTACTGCGACTTTAAAGTTTGTGTCAGCGCGTTTCTAGAACTCCATCCACAAGTTTCCGAGGGGCGCTCCTGTAAAAAATAAAGTGGGCGAAACTTCCGGTGAGGCGGCGGAAGTAGCATTCCAATGGTATTTTGTGTGTTAGTTAGCGAAGAGGCTAGCTGTTTTTCGGAGAATTATTTTACTATTTAAAGACGCAAATCTTTATGAGAGATGTCGTTACGGAGCTCAGAGACGACATGTGCTGTTCGCGGTTATATGTATAGCCGGAC